GTGCAAACGATGTAATTGTAGACACTCGATCCTGATCGACGATCTATGTCATCCGTTACAAAACTCTCTATCACGAGTAAGACTTTTGCACTAAATTTGATTGATTTATGGTGCAATCCAAAACCTTACAACGCTTTCGATGATTATAAACAAGAAGCATCGATTCTTATACAATATTGAGATTTTTGGGACCTTAATATGAACCTACAAATTTAAAGAGAAATGATTTTACAATTTGAAATTTCTCTCTTAATAAACGATATACACAAATTAAGTAATAAAAGAGAAATATGCTAACACTTTAATGAATAACAATGAATGAAACTCAAGTGTTAGGTAAGAAATTTTTTGATGAGAAATATGTTGTTCAAAAGTTGATTCAATCAAACATTTTTCAAAGTAAATGATGTGATGAAGATATATAAGATGTAAGATCAATATATTTTTGTTCAAGAATATCTCACTTAATTGCTCTTAAAAGTATTGCAATGAATGCAAAGTGAATTCTATATTGAAAAGATTTATTGATACTTGTTGGATATCTAGTATTAGTAAAAGTAAATCTACTTCGATTTGTGTGTTTACTCTTGGAGAAGGTGTTGTTTCTTGGAAATAAATAAAAAAACAAATGTGTATAACACAGACAACTATGAAATCTGAATTTGTAGCACTATCAAAAATCGGGAAAGACGATGAGTGGCTTAAGGATCTACTTTATGAGATGCCTTTGGGACCAAAGAATACATTTTCAATATCTATCATGTGTGATAGTCAAGCCACATTGCAAAGACATACCAACAAGGTAGCCGTTGTGCGTTATAATTAAGAATGGTTTAAAAAAGCGACCTTTGGACGAACTGGATGTCTGCATGGCCCAATTGGACATCCGCATAGATAGAATTTTCCTTTTTTTTTCTTTATTTGAATATTTTGAAAAATGTAAACTTTTGAATGGAGTTTTTCACTTTATTTTTCAAGGTAATTGATATTGTACTAAATTTAAATATCAAATTGAAATACTCACATTTTGAAAAATAATTTTTATGCAAGTGTTTTTAATAATAATATTTTGTGCATACACAAATTATTCATTGAGGTTTTAATAATTCATCGCTAAAAATTAAGTGTTGTACATTTACACATTAATACAAACATCTAATCACATGAATACTATTAAAGTTCTTTATCTCGAATGATTTGTTTTGAATGATTGACTTCCATCTTGATTTTTATTGAGCGTTCTATGCATGTCTTTTGATAGTGACATTTTAGTCCTCAATCGATCAACTTTGCAACAATAGCTTTGAAAACTTAAATTTAATTGTTAAAAATAAAATTAACTTATTTGTTATGATCAAAACATGAAAGATGAAGTTAGTCATAAGTCAACGGTAGGCTTGCTTAAACTCATAAAACTTGAAATTTCGCCTCTATGTTTAATAACGCTTTACACTTTTTAGAAAACTGTTATTTATATAATCATACTTGACAATAATGGTTCAAAATGTTGGTGTTGTCAAAATCTGAGCAATGGATTTAAAAACAAAATTTTTGAAATGAATAAATGTAATGTAGTTAGTGCGAGTTCTCAACCAGTATTGTCAAATTAAATTGTACATGTAGCAGGATTCTTCAAAATATTGACAAGATTGTACTCAGCTCATGTTTGATGATCATTATTTTGAGAAAGAGAGATGCTATTCGTATCGGGAGGTGTACAACCCCCCCTACCGG